GGAGATTGGCGAAAGCACCTCGATCCTTTGCTATACGGTTCGTAATCTCATCTTCGATCCCACGGGTGCTAATATAGCTGCCCAGGTACTTGAATTCCTGAACGATTTGTAGCTGATCACCAACAAGGGCCTGCGCAGGGGTGGGTTCCTGCCAATCTTGGGGAAGTACGTTGCGTTTCCATGGAGCAAATCATAGTCGAAAACGACTGACAGCCAGTGTTAATCGGTCTAGTGCTGCTTAGTATGTTTGGGAGCTGTCACAGATTAGGGCAATATCGTCCACATAATCAGAGTCAAGAAGTCGCTCATCAGGAAGTAGCTCCACACTTAGGTGGTATCGAACGAACGCAGTTTGGATGACTTCATCAACAGCGAAGTTAAAAGAAAACCGTGACAGCGGGCAACCTTGTCTCACACCGCCGGAGAGATTGAAGGGCGGCAACAGTTTGCATAAACCCACACTGCGCGTACAGCGCTTTGATAACGCTTACGTATTTATCGAGCACATCTTTTCTCAGCAATCAGTCCCAAAGGGCATATCGATCAATCTGACAGAAAGCACCTTTGATAGCGAGAAACACGACTACGGTGGGTCGCCAATAAACATGGCGCTGCTCCGACAACTGACGCAAAGTGAAGATGTGGTCGATGCAGCCCCTACCTCGACGAAACCCGGCTTGCTCGTCACGAATCTGACCTTCACGAGCGCCATTCAGTCTGTGGAGAACGACAGACGCAAACAATTTAGAAGCAATTTAGACCAGGCTGATCGCTCTATGACTGCCGTATTCTGAACGTGAACCTCCCTTGAAAACTGGGACAATGACGGAGCGGCTCTACTAGGAACTCGTGTAAATCCTGTTCAAGAACAGGTTCCCCGAATTTGAAGAGGGCGGGGGCAATTTTGTCTGTCCCTACGGCCTTATGCAATTTCAACAGCCTGATCTCCCGTTCGACTTTTGCGCGTGAGAACGGATCTAAGGGGACGGCCCAGTAAGAAAAGCACTCAATTCCCGAAAAAAAAGATATAACGCAGGTTGGTTAAACTGCTTTGCAAAATGCTGCCAGTTGGCCAATCTGTAGCAAAGTGCGCAAGCTGAGGCATGCCAGCCTTAGCGAGGATCGAGGACTCCAAAGGGAAACGGGTGAACTGGCACTAACAGATGCTTCTAGTTAAGGCTCAGGCGCGGCCGATTCTCATATTCTCCCAAACGATTCCGAAAAGGCTATCGCTCACCACAACTGAGAAAAAGTTAAGCTAAATCAAAAAAGAGGCCTTGGCTATTATCTCTGCCGTCAATAAATTCCACAAATCCTCGTTTGACCGCCGATGCACGCTGAGCACAAACCGATCTTTGGGGCCAAAAGCGGTACGCCAGTATACTTTACGAACATTGGGCAACTATACTCGGGTTACGATTTTATCATCCGGTAAAGTCGTAGCGACAAGTTCAGGCAAGCCAATGCGCTATCTCGCCTTATCAGCAGACATCCTGCATCTGAAGACGACGCAGGCATTACTTCTGCACACTTTGAGGAAAGTATATTTACATACAATTTGCATCAGTCTATGAATATATAAAGAGCCAGCAGAAAGCATGGAAATAAAAGGAAGGTACAGTTGTCGTAAAAAGCCGAACACAACACAGAAATCCATGGTTTCGTCAGAGGGCAAGATACTAACCAGTTGCGCAAGCTGAAGTGGGGTGTCGACTCAGAAGAGCACCCGGAGACGGGCTAAATAGCCCACCCACAAGGCAACGGGGCGAGTTCAGGGAATCGCGCCCATTGGGAGCCAGTGACTGATAGCTCAGTTCATACGCCTTTCATCTGGTCGGTTGACAAGCAGAGGCCAAATCTTTCCTATAATTGCAGCGTTGCGTTGCTGGAATACAATGCTTCACCGGAGGAAGATATCAACCGGCAGCTCTCAGATGTCATTCGTGGGATTCCGGTCAGCGCCGCCGACATTGGTCACGCAACTGCGCACGATCAGATTTTTAAACGTGCCCTTTTCTTTACACGGTCGCGAAAGCCTACGGACTTACTGGTGGACTACATAAGTTGTTCTGTCACTTCGAATCATTATCCTTAGTTGCTTCTTACCTTATGCCTGCCGACCCAATTGTGGTATTGTCTTCCGTCTGTCCAGTTGTTCTCCGCCAGTTTATTCTATTCATCCGCGCATCAGCATGATGAAGATCACCGCACTGGGTTGTCCATCCGCTTAGTACGGATGTCGGCATACAAAAACTTGTGAGAATGTGATTTAAATGCCAAAAAGCCGCCAAACTATCCACTAGGCAAGAATAGATATCATGGCCAGCGTTTCGAGACCTATGGTCACGCACTCACCTAGGCTTCGCCGGTCCAATCGATGCAGTGTCGTACTCGTCCTTATCGACGTTTACTCCAAGTAGCCAGAAATAGTGGCACTTAACCTGGTGATCTCTACCAACATGACTCGCCCTTTGGAAGATCTTCAGCAAGCAGGGCTTGCCAGATGTACTTGTTACAGATAATTGGTCCTAGTTCACTTAACCTCAATTCACGGACTTTTGTTTCCGTTGGAACATCAAACACATACGGGCTCTGCAGTACCACCATCAGTCGAATGGTCAAGCCGAACGCTTCGTCCATGCCATCAAGCGAGCGCTTCTGAAGTTGCGTGAGATTCTGCAAAGTTTCCTGTTGGTGTAACGAACCACTCCCTGTGGTGACGTTTTACAGCCGAAGTTCTGATGGGTCACACATTGAGTACAGCTCACCATGCTCTCATCTTGAGGAGTGTTTCACCTCTGCCTTATGCAGCAGAGAATCAACATGGCGCCAGGGTTGGGACATCTGTATACGCCTGGGATTACAGACGTGGACACAATGAATGGGTCGAAGCTGCTGTTACCACCCGCCAAGGACGAGTACTTTATAATGTATAAGCAAATAGTAAAATTGGGAGGCGGCACCAAAACCAGTTACGTCTAAGGCAACAGACTCAAATTATGACATCAGTCATCGACCACTCTCGCTAGATATACTACTGGACACCTTTCACTCGTAAAGAATAAATCCCACTCCATTGGAAGATAAATAGATGTTAGTCATCACCCTTGTCGATGGGCAGATCGAGTCCGTCATCATCATCATGGTTACACATTAGTTGAAGGTGAGTAATACATTTCACCTATTGTGCCCCAATATAAAGGTTACAAGGAAACACAAGATACTAAATACTGCAGAATATGAAAACACGCAATAAACTATTTGGTAACATATTGTGCTTCAAGACAGAGATTGTGGCTGCAGGGGGAAGATAAGCGGGATGGGGAGAGACTAAGAAACGCACAAGATCAAGTTGAACGTCCAGTGAAGTCCCTGCAACTGAACCCAAGAAAGAAGGGCTACAAGTAGCCAATCTTAAGTTGGCATTTTTCAGTGATTCGTTTTTTGACCTTTCTAAGAGCAGCAAAAGAATGCGCAATACTTTTTATTGATGCTGCTTTCATTGCTCCAAAAGCGGTTTCCTTTTCACTCCGGTTGTTGATTTGTTATCGGACACTACGTTACCAATCGCTTTCTTTTCCTATTCAGCCGATGCACGTCTGCACTCCACAAACTATACTTTAGCTAGGCAGTTGTCTTTGTTTATTTTCCTGCTTGAAGTACCATGTTTCGCTTTTAGAGCTAGTGAGAAACGTGTGAATCAAGCGACTATTCGGGGCGATTTCCAATCGGTAACACGCGGTCAAGAGAGTCGAAAGCGGCTTTCAAGTAAAGGCATCATGACGCGCAGTCGGCACCAGTGGCGTGTTTGTTGTCGTTTCACAGCTGGACTGCTTGTTTCAATTGCGTCTGGTGCTGGGTTATCTGCAGCGTAATGTCTGATTATGATGTGGGACAGTGAAAGTCGCAAGGAAGCTGTCTCTACGATGTCGCTTTACCTGCACAATAGCCAGCTGTTTGTGATCTTTTTGTTGATAAGTTGTAGGCACCTTGGCTTAAGGCATTTACGACGGGCCCTAATACTCTGACTCCTCTACTAGACCGTCCCGGACTAGGCGGCCTCTCGAGTATTTGTAACCGGTTTAGTTCAATACCTATATTGTGTTATGGAATATAACGTAAGGTTTACGAGCAATGGTTGGTTGCGATAGTTTACTATGGATGCCAGGAAATCGCATTTTATTTATTCTGAACACGTTCGTCCATGTTCTGATGTCTCGCTATTCGCATTTTACGTTACAAATCTACTTAGCCTCGGTTAGTTTTCCAATATGTATCACTGAAGTAACCAGCTTCACAATGACTGCGTAAGGATAATCGTGTACAAATTGATTCTATCTATTGAAGTGAACATTTTTAGACAGCTTGAGGTGTCAATACTAACGTGCACGAGGCCGACACTTGGTTTGGGGATATAATTTACGGTTTACTGCATATCATTGCACATAATAAAGTAGTTTGCGTGCAGGAGCAGACACTAACGGTGAGAAATATCGCATCGCCGGAGTACCCTTTTCAAGCGTAGTTATCGGTGTGACTATTGTTTATTTAATGTAGTTTTACAGATGCTATACTGTGAAAATCAACCCGTCAGAAGTAGATGCTGGACTAAACATACAGTCGGGAGGTTTGGCGTGCACACCCGATAAAGGAATGCGACTAATGCAGAGGGGAGTAATTACTTGATAAATGCATATTATTAGGCAACTCCGAAGGTAACTGCACCTTTTGCACTAAAGATGTGTTTTGATGAAATGCGCGCGTCATTTGTGTTAACGTGCGCAGCAGGCGTGGTCAGGATAAGAGGAAACATAGGGCAATGCGTTTGGAAAAACGGAAAGAGGAAAGTGCCAGAAAAATTGTTTCCGATAATCGGGTGACAGTCAGAAACACGCTTACTTGCAACTTATTTCGGAATCTGCGGACTGTTAGCGGATGTACAGCTATTGATGATTAATATAAGAAAATGGTACAAACAGGATTTCAATGTCGAAACGTACCTTGTCTTTCGGTTTTAAGGCATTTCGGCGAAAAAATGCCTTACAGCTCTCGCAAGTTAGGCGATCAAAGTTGTAACCAGAAGCCGGTTCCCCACATACAATGCAGATGCGTTCCTCATCGCTGATACCTGCCTTTCTACGTCGAGTTCGCACGACGCTTATAAGTGAGTTTTCCGATCTCGTATTTGGAATGAATTCCGAGTATGTTCCAGTGCAGTGATAATTCGGGACAGGTAAGGTGTCGGGAGAAGAGCGGAAGTAACTCCGCGTGCTGTCGAATGATTCAGTTGAAGTACAACCGAGAGGAATTCGAATGGTTGATGGGTCCAGCTTAAGATCAGGTCGTGAAGACATATTTTGAGAGATCGGTAAAGTGTCGGGCCTGACCGAAAAACAGGGTGTAGAGGAGTACATACAATCCTTGGGGGAATGCAAGCCCTGCATAATATCCATAGTGTGGAACTTGCCACTCCCCTTCTCCATCTTAAGTAAAAGCGAAAATCCTATGATAGCAACTCCGATGTAACTGATTGATCAAGAGGACATAAATCCACACATAGTAGTCGCAGAAACAGGTAATCCGATGTGGGTGAAACGGCGTATCCCGGCCCAAAAGTCCCTCAAAGAACCGTGCTAACAGAGGAAGATGAAAAAGTAGCTGTTTCCGCGCACAACCGTCGTAAATTATTTGAATCACTGGAATGCAGAGAGCAGAATTAAAAACCTTTGTCAGTTACATCACCCAATCATAGCAGGTGTTTGCACAACAGCAATCAACGTTAGGTTGTTACAGTTGTATGAAAAATAATAAGATCCCTGCAAATTCAACAAGAATAAATCCAAACATCGATTAAATTGCGAATAATGCACTGTATGTTGATTGACTGTCAGTTCCAGCTGACAAGTGAAAAATAAGCGATCACACACACGGCTTGATATGTACGCCCGTACTTCCTTATTAACAGTTTTTTTTCCATCTTTTATAAACTTACCACGGTATTTAATTTAGTCATCTATTTTAGGTGCGCCGCTTATTGTACGCTTTTAGGTTATTAGCAACCTAGCATATAGTTATATCATTTCCTTCCATTTACCTATATCATTCCTATTATCTACCTTAAAAATTTAATTGTACTCTGGTAATACGTCTGTAGTCGAACCGCATCACAGTCTTCTGTTAGCGCACTTGACCCAGAGCTTAGAAGCGTGCATTCATATGATCCCAGTTGACCCGATTGACCGATGAGCGACCGATAGGTAACCGAAACCTGTCAGTCTGCCCTAGACAATTCTGCTGCCGGCTGTGCCGGGAAAATTAAGCTGTCAGCAGTTTGTCCTCTGTGACTATTACGCAGGGAGGTTATTTTTTGCGTGCAATACTGAGAGCTTTAAGGCTGATATTGTAGTGTGCAATAGTCGGGGAATGGCCAGATATCTCCGCGAGCTGAAGGACAAGTAAAACATTACGATTAATCACGCAAACCACTTTTACATACGGTGGGCGGGAGCCCCGGACGGAAGAACACAGTGGGCGATGAACAGCGTGTATTGGCAGAACGGAGATGAAGTCGTACAACACAGTAAAACAGGCTCAATATAGAATATACAATCGAAGGGACAAAAGAGATAAACAGTTTATGGTTCATGACTGTCCGTTCGTGGCTTTGTTAGAGCTGGAGGTCTCACGCAATGCAGCTGGAAAATAAAATAAAAGTGAGAATGAATAGACTGCGGTTAAAGTGAGTGCGATGCCGTTACACTGTCCCCTAGATTTAGGTGTTGTCCTCAACACCTGCTGTCGAATTCTCGGGTGCCGTTGTATCACTTATCTCCACGTACTCGGTGGCCTCTGGAAATGGGGGTTCGTTTTAATGCGAGAAGCGTGGGTCGCTGGTACTCAGAGTCGCCGGTTGCAGGCGGTTAATATGGGCCATAAAGGAACGTCTCGGATCTTGGGCGTTATCCGTGATACAGCAGGTACGGTCGTTATACACTTCTTCAACGGTGAACGACCCTGCCCGTTCCTTGTGCAGTTTCGAGGGGAGTCCCGGTGGAGGCACCGGTGCATGCAAGTAGACTAACGGTCCAGGTTGTAGCGGTAAACCTTCGACTCGTCTATCGTAGTAGTCTTTTTGGTGACTTTGGGCGTTGGACAAGCAGTTCCTTGCGAGTTGGTTCGCACGAATTAGGTCACTGCGTACCCTCTTTGCATGTTCCGTGGCTAGCAGTGGATCTGGCGGCAGTCGCGGTACAATCAAATCAAACGGCAGACGCATCCCACGCCCAGTGATCATATAATGTGGGGAGTGGGATATCGAGGAATGAACAGTGGAACGGTAGGCTAACAAACAAGGTGGTAGTGCGCGGTCCCACTCCCGTGCGCTGTATGCATCCGTGAACGCTTTTAGCGGAGCCTTTAATGACCGATTTGCGCGTTCAACTCCACCGTTTTCTTGCGGGTGGTAAGCAGTAGTGCGCAGTTTGCGGATACCAAGAAGATGGCATAGCTCAGAAACAATGTCGCTCTCGAAATTCGAACCTCGGTCCGAATGCAACTGCTCCGGGGCACCCCAACGCGATACCCATTGCTCGAAGATCGCATGTGCCACTACAGTTGCGCCGTTGTAGGGAATAACAGTGGCCTCGCACCACTTCGTGAAATGGTCGACCAGAATTAGATTGTAGCGGTTACCACGTTCTGTTCGGGGTAGAGGTCCCATATGTCTACCGCAACTGTTTGATTTGGGTATCCGGTGATGATGGGTTGTAGCGGTGCGCGGTTTGGCCTCTGAGGCGGTTTCGCACGAAGGCATTCCTGACAAGCGTTACAGAAGTTAACCACATCTCTGCGCTGGTCTGGCCACCAGAATCGCTGCCCAACAGCCTCATCCATTTTCTCTGCCCGGGATGTCCTAATTCGGTATGTAGTTGGCGCAACACGAAATCGACCTTGGACTGGGGAACAACGATTCGTTTGGAATAATTCAGCCCGTATTGATAGTACAAGATTTCATCATGAATTACGAGGCGTTGCCATACCGACCACACGCAATGAGCCTCCCAACTTAAACCTGCCATCTCCGCTTTCGTAGGTTTGCTTCCATCGGTGGATAGCCTTTCATAAATAAGCTTGAGCTCCGGAACGTTTCTTAGGAAATCCGACCACTCAGCAGAATTGGAAGTGTCAAGCAACACTACATCTACGAGGTGATCCGAACAGGAGGGGAAGTCGACATTGTGTCTGCCGTTGCGTCGTGACAGAGCATCCGCATTAGCATGCTGTCTGCCGGGTCTATGTACATATTCGAAATCATATTCTTGCAGTTGTTCTTGCCAGCGGGCGACCTGCCCTTCGGGGTCCCTAAAGTTTTGTAGCCACTTAAGCGCATGGTGGTCCGTGCGAATAAGGAAACGCCGCCCCAAAAGGAAATGGCGAAAATGCTTTGTGCATTCCACCAAAGCCAACATCTCTTTGCGTGTTGTGCAATAAGTACGTTCCTTTTTGCTCAGACATCTACTTCCGTAAGCAATCACATGTTTCAACCCATCAGGTCCGACTTGTGACAGGATGGTTCCAATTCCGGTGTTGCTTGCATTCGTGTCAAGAAAAAACTGACTCGCACTAGAAGCCAGGTCTGGAAACGCTAAAATTGGCGAAGTTGTCAGCGCTCGGCGTAAAGAGTCAAACGCTTTGTCACACTGAGGAGTCCACTGAAACGGCCTTCCCTTCTCTCTCAAACGGTGCAGTGGTGCGGCAATGTCGGCAAAGTTGCGGACGAACCTGCGGTAGTAGGAAGCAAGGCCCAAAAACTGTCGCACGTCTTCCGTGGAATGCGGAGTAGGCCAGTCTTGAATCTCCTTTATCTTATTTGGGTCACACTGAACCCCCGATGAAGTGATGACATGGCCTTAGAACGTCACTTCTTTCCTTAATAGCTGACATTTGTGTGGCTGCAACTTGAGGCCAGCATCCACAACACTGTGTAGTACTACGTCCAGCATTCCCAAATGTTCCTCCAGGGTGCGCCCATGCACGATTACGTCGTCTAAGTAAACTAGGCACTGATGTGGTATCAAAGTTCTAAGGACGACGTACATTAGACGTTGAACTGTGGCGGCGCGTTTGATAAACCGAAGGGCATAGTTTGAAACTCGCACAGTCCCGATGCTATCGCAAAGGCGGTATTTTCACGGTCCCTTAGATCGAGCTCTACCTGCCAATATCCAGATGCCAGATCAAGGGTAGAGAACCATTGCGCCCCCGAAGGGTTTCCAAAGTGTCATCTATACGAGGCATTGGAAACGAATGCTTGCGGGTCACTTCATTTAGCTTACGATAAGCTACACAGAGGCGCAGAGAACCATTATTCTTTTTGACGAGGATTATTGGCGAGGCCCAGGGTGACTTCGATGGAGTAATAAGGTTTGCTTCCAGCGTTTGTTTTATCATATTTTCGAGTTCCGCACGACATTACACCGGTACGCGGTGGGGTCGCTGAGTGATAGGCCTCGTGGGCCCTGTGTCAGTTTTGTGTCTTATGATACCAGTACGGCCCAGATAGGACCCTTCCCATACGAACGCGGCGGCATTATTCTTCAGTACAGCGCGTCGAGAGTCTCTGACGGAAGAGTATCTTTCAGAAGGGATAAGAAAGCGGTTATCTGTGTTTCAAGCGGTGCGTGCGTGTGGCTTGCTAAACGCACACTGGGCACAGGATTTGGATCGATAGTAATGGCCACTTGACAATTGTTAAACTTCATACAACCCTGACGCATATCGATGCAGCATCCCAAAATACGTAGCAAATCCGAGCCGAGTACTGCGTCCCATGGTATTTGCAAGGATACAAACATAGGATGGGATAACTTTTCGTCACCTAAAACCAGATCCACCATAGCGATGCCGGTTACATTTAATAGGGTGCCATTTGCGGTTCTAATTTGATGACGGTGGTCAATTTAACGTCCCTAGTGCATAAAGAGGGTTTAATTAGAGAGCAAGTGGCCCCTGTGTCTACCAGAGCGTGTGCCGGTCTACCACAAAGCAGTAAGCTCACGAATGGCTGCCCTAGGTTTGGTAACGAAGAAATGCAAGGCACAGATTGGGACTTACCCCCATTGGTGCACGTGCTTGATGCTCCAGGGTTGCGTCGAACACCAACAGAAGGCAAAAGTGGTCGGTTATGTCCACATGTTTGAGCTTGTGTGCCAAATTTTCGGCAGTAGTAACAGTCATTGGCGTTCCCTGATCTCGTGGGTCGAAATGCTGATGCCCGTTGGAAGCGCGACACAGGGCAGCCAGACGTCTGAGGCGGTCTTCTGGCTCGTGCTGCAGCCTCGTACTTGCGACCGATGACGATGGCTTCTTCCACAGACGACGGTGGGTTCCGCACGTAAGCTCTGCAAGTTTCATCATTCGCGACACCTTGAATCAACCGCTCCAAGATAAACGCATCCCGAAGGTCGGGTGTCACATTTCCGAAGGCACGCAATGTCAGAGTATAGAGTGCAGTGACGTAGTCGTCAAACGTTTCATGCGCGCCCTGCGACCTGGCCCAAAAGTCATTCCTTGCACCGGGTTGAGAGGAACCATCGCCAAATAACGAACCCACTTTCGACCAAATCTCATCTACGAAGGAAGTGGCGGAAAATCCGGAAGAAATTAAG